CCAGGCATACCTCAGTCCCTCCAAGTCTTATGGGTACTGGTAGCCAAAAGCAGACAATGGCCACAAGAGCCACTGTACAGTGTGGCAGGCTTCTTTTTTTCTCCATAGGAAGACACATGGACAGGTTTATAAACATGCAAGCCATTTGTTCAGGAAGTATATCACTTGATTATTAATCCAGAGCTGATCTAGTTTTCCTCCACCCAGAGAGACAATGAACCCACTTAAACTTCCAATCCGAAGGTAGAGGAGATTCTTTGCACCTCCAGGTAAGGCTAGGAAAGTCTCCTGTGAAATCCTGGGAACATATTGCTGGTGCAGTTAGACTGCACAGAACTAGACAAGCCAATCTTCTTACTTGGCATAAGACCAGTAGAACTGGCAGATTGCATCCTTATCTTTTAAATGAAGAGGCCAGGCACAATATATTAACATATTTTTATCAGTTTTGTTGATCATGTTGTGTTAAATTAAGCTATGGTGATAATGATGATAATTTCTTTTTTTCCATAACTTTGTTAAAAGTTTTGGATAGAACATTAAAGAATACAAGCGAAAAAGAAAAAAAGGAAGAAAAAAAGGTATAATAAAATGAAACAACCCCCCCCAATCCAAAAAAGTGACTCCCTACCCTCATCATGACAAGTATAAACAATTCCATAATCTCTTCACCTCCTCTTATTTAACCAATGTAAAACTCTTCATCCTATAACCCATTTTTTAATGGTAGGCAAATCAAAGAAATAACCTCTTGTGCCATCCAATTCTCAGCAAGAAGTGTAAACAGAGCTCTAAATATTAACAGTAGTTAACATATATAAAATTCAACATTCCGCATCTCCACTCTTAGCTAAAATAAAATCCCATATAAAAAGGATAACATGGTCCCAATATCCCAGTATCAACAAAATAAAAGAAAGGTTTAACATACCAAAAAGGAACCATTTCTCCTTTACAAAAGACCAGCTCTAACACACAACATTTTTACCCTAAATAACAACTTATCCCGTTCAGATAAACATTCCATATCTCAACTCTATACTGTAAGCATATCTACAAAAGACTAAATTTTAGCCGAACAAAGAGAAATAGTTTCTCCTTTTTTAAAAAGGATCAAACTCCTTACTTGAGGTAAAAAGACAATTAAATACAAAGCCAATTTGAGTAGTGTAAAATTACGATACATAAAATGCCAATAAAGGGAAGAACGTAAACACCTTATTAAATATAAACAGATCCAGGGTACCACATTTTTTTCCAGTTAACATATCTGCACATCCAAAATGAACCAGCCAGAATAACAACATCTCCACTTTATCTCTTCATATTCTTAGATTAAGGATTGGAGGCACTCACCAGCTATTTCC